ATAAAAGAAAGTGGGGGTAGGGGTGGATTCAAGTACAACATACTTCATACATTGTAAGAACCTTTGTAAATGTCACAATGTTCCACCACCCAGCACAAAAAAAGTTTTATTCCCCATAACTATTCCATAAGAATGAAGAGTAGGGCCAAGGAGGGTGATTCATGCCTGTAATCCCAGTAGACAGAGATCTGAAGGATCAGGGCAAAAAGTTAGCAAGACTCTATCACAACAAACAAGCTGGGTAATGGTGGTGCACACTATAATCCCAGATTTGTAGGACACATAGTCTGAGAAGCCCAAGCAAAAATATGAGAGCTATCTGAAAAATAACCAAAGCAAAAAGGACTGGAGCATGACTCCAGGGATAGAGTGCCTGTCTACTAAGTGCAAAGCCTCAAGTTCAAACTCCAGTACTGCCCAAAAACAAAAATAAAATAATAAATGCCTATCCTAAAAGATTGGCAGCCAATCAAATATAGATGTTTGAAAACGTGGATTATTTTTCTAACTTTATCAGTATTTAAATGCTGGGGAATGATTCTACCAGAATCTGCAGCTTGGATTCACGTAGCCTCATGTCTAGAGCCCATGCTGCACCTTCCTAGTGGGGTAGAGGGAGGGTGAGAGGACACAGGGCTCCAGGTGTGAGAGCCTGGCACTTCAGTGGAATGTGCAGGTTCTAATCTAGCCCTCTCCATTACTACAGGGTGGACCATTTGAACATCGCTGACCTACCTGAGCCTCAGCAATAAATAAACGTCTATGAGGGTTAATGAAGATCATATACAAAAAGCATGCACACCAATTCTTGCACAAGGTTGTACTCAGTCAGCTTCAGCTCTACTTAGCTGACACTAACATAATGCAAGAGTTCTTACAAGACTACCCATGTCTGTACTAGGCAGGTGATAAATCTTTCATGTGATCACAGATGGAACTAATGAGGAAAAGGCTGTGGTAAAGGTTACTGGATCAGCCCAAAGTCAAAGGCAGAGGTGCTACAAGATGTAAGGCCATAAAGAAGAGAGGAATTAAATTGTGCCTGTGGCCAGGCTTTTTACACACATCCAGTGAACTCAATGATTTGGTTACCAGTGGAGGAAAGCTACAAACCACTAAGAACCAAAAACGGAACTGACTAAACATAACTGTGGCACCAGGAGTCCTCTGTGTATGTGACTTCCTAAACATGAAGAAACGTTTGCTCATTGTGACAGAGAAGAAGAACCCGTTTTAGCTGAAGGAAATCCTGCTCATTCATGAAACTGAGGACGTTTTCCACCTCTCTGAAGACTGTGGAACTAGGATGGAGTTTGTTTGTCCCTGTATTGTCATTTTTTATTAACATGAAATGCATTTTTAACATTTTAATATCTCCAACTCAGAATGTATCTTAAAATCAAACTTTTTTTCTGATTGGCACTTGAAATGGTGATGTATCAGAGTAGAGAGAATTTAAGATTCAAGGAGAAATGAAAAAGCAATTTTAAGGCATAACCTGTAAGTGAACAAAGCCAATTGAGAAAAACATGCAAAATAAACTTAAACTGTAGCCAAATTTCCTTGGAAAGTTGTTACTGTGATAAGTTCAAAATATGGCTTGGTCCAGTTAAAAGGAGAAAGTAGGACTCACATCACTTTGTTTCCAGATTTACTATAAGTGCTAAAATAATCAAGAGACTGTGGCTTTCGAGAAAGGATAAATACATAGATCAATGTAGACACTCCAGAAATGGACTCACATGTATTTTGCCAATTGGTTTTCAATTAAAGCAAGGGAAAATCAATTTTAAAAAAAAAGACAATCTTGTCAATAAATGTTTCTGAAACAATGCAGGATATTCATTGCATAATATTTAAAAGAAGAAATTTAACCCCTACCTCACACCATATATGAAAAATAATTCTGAAACTGTTAAAGGAAAAAATGTATGAGATGACACTCAAAACATGATCATAATTTTTATGTGATAAGTTGGACTACATCAAAATTCAGGGTTTGTTTTAATCTTAAATATAAAGACTGGGCAAAATTTTTTGTAAAACATACAAATGGCAATAGGTTTGTACCTACAATTTGTAACTATTCTTACAACTCAATAATAAGAAAACAAAGAACCCAATTTTAAAAACAGGCAAAAGATCTGAACACATCTTTCACTACAGTTGACATGAAGATTCTCACATAAGTAAGCAAATGTAAAGATGCTGAAGATTGTGAGTTAGTAAGGAGATGCAAGTTAAGCCCTCATGAAAACAACAAACACTGGCAAGGATGCAGTGAAAAAAGGAAGCCTTATGTGGTGGGAATATAAATTAGCATAGCCACTGTGGAATTCAGTATGGAGGTTCCTTAAAACACTAAAAATACAACTATCCTACAATCCTGCTATATCACTCCTGGGTATATAAACGAATGAATCAAAGTCAGCTTGCTGTAAAGACCTGTACACCTACATTTATTGTGGCACTATTCATAATAAAGCAATTCATGGAATCAACCTAGGTGCCCATTGACAGATGAATGAGCAAAGAAAATGTAATACACACACACTCACACACACACACACACACACACACAGAGTGGAGTATTACTCAGCCATAAAGAAGAACAAAATTATGTCATTTTCATGATGGAACTAGAGATCATTGTGTTAAGTAAAATAAGCCAGACTTAGAAACACAAATATTTCATGTTTTCTCTCACATGTAGAATTTAGATTTTCAAGAAAATACATGAACATAGAGAAGATTTGGGGGATGAGGTAAAGACCAGTGAGAGGGGGATGTGAGGGAGTGGTTGGGGGGTAAATAAGATCAAAGTACATTGTATACATGTATGAAAATGTCATAATGACACTCACTATTTTATACAATTAGTATACATGATCTACAAAACAGTCCCCACTGTTACTGAGTATATAGAAGAACTGGAACTTTCATGTACTGCTAGTGGAAATACAACATGGTATAACCATTTCAGAAATCAGCTTGGTCATTCCTCGAAAACTTAAGCATATACCTTTGATCTAACCTTACCATTCCCCTCATAGATATTCCCCCAAAAGAAATGATAGCATATTACTACACAAAAACTTGTACCCTAATATTCATTACAGCTTTATTGGCAACAACTAACATCTGGAAACACCTAAATGTCCATCAATGAATGAGTAAAGAAATTATGATGCATCCATACAGCAGAAGACTGATCAGTAATCAAAAAGAATGGATTAATGATACATGCTACCTGTGTGGATATCAAAGCTGGATGAGAAAAGCTGATGACAATAAGAGACAGAGCACACTGTGTATTATTCCATTTTATAAAATTCTAGGATGGCAAACAAATCAGTGTCAGGAAGAAGATCTTTGTGATGAGGAGGTAAAAGGAACAGTAATAGGTTCATTTTTGTGTTGTGGTCTAAGTTTCATTGAAGTTTGCATACCTCAGAAAACTCGATTTATACGTTTTAAATATGTGCAGGTTGTAGTATGTCAATTATGCCTCAATAAAGCTGTAAGCCAGAGGGGAAGCATGCTAACAGAAGAGCAAAAAACTAACTTTTTGTTTTATTTGGGCCTCAAAAATATACAATGAGACTTACTTAATTTTAAGATAGATTTGTGCTAAAATACTGAGTTCACAGATGGTTCCATACATCTTGGTATTCTAAAGGAAAATAAGTTCCTTTTTTTTTGCAGTGCTGAGGATTGAACCCAGGGCTACATGCATGCTAGCACTCTACCACTGACCTATACCCTCAGCTCAGAGAATAAATTCTTATGAGTCAGTTGCAGCTATCGTAAGTCCATATTGTATATAAGAAAGCACATGGGATTGAAACAAACAAAAAAGTCACATTACCTAATGGGGATCTGTAAACACCTACAAGTATGGAAAAGAACATTCCTGGGTAAATATCCACATCCATTATTTAGGGAAATTGTTCATTCTCTTCTAATCAGAAAATCAGTGTGCCACTGACATCTTAAACCTCCAGGCCTGTTGCACCTTGAGTAGGATTCTGGGGCCATCGTGTGGTGACCAAGAAGAACACAAATGTCAGATTCACTAAGTGCATCTGTCAGAGTAAATATAAAAGGCCATCAAGGACTACAGTAATCTAAAGATTGGGGTCTTTTTTTGTTGGTGGTGGTACTGGGGTTTGAACTCAGTGTTTTGTGCTTGTTAGGCAGGTAGTCTACCGTTTAAGCCACACCTCCATTCCTTTTAGCTCTAGTTATCTTGGAGATAGGGTCTCACTTTTCACCCAGGCCAGCCTGGACTATGATCCTCCTATTTATGCTTCCCAGGGTGGCTGGGATGACAAATGCACCCCTCCACACCCAGATTTTTCTGTTGAGATGGGTCTTGTGAACTTTCTGTCCCAGCTGGCCCGGACCCACAATCCTCCCAACCTCAGTCTCCTGAGTAGCTGAGATGACATGTATGTACCACTGCACCAAACTATTGGATAAGATGGACTCTCAGGAACTTTCTGCCCAAGCAGGCCTGGCCCCACTATCCTCCCAATCTTATCCTCCCACATAGATGGGATGACAAGCATGCACCAGAGCACCCAACTATTGGATGAGATGGGGTCTCATAAACTTTTTGCCTGGGCAGGCTTCGAACCACATTCCTCCCAATCTCCACTTTTCAAGTAGCTAGGATTACAGGTATGAGCCAAGGGTACCCAGCTAAGATTGGGATTTTCTTAAAGAAGCTTTGGTCGAATCACCAAACATACGGAAGTGATTAAAATGTTTCTCAAATTTTTTCTGTGTGTAAGAATCACTCAAGTTAGGTAGCTCGGGCCACTGTGCATAAAAGGGCTGCCACCAGGTGATGCGGTGACAGCTTCGGCAGCTCCAGAAGCTGAGTGGTCCCAGGCCCTCAGCCAATCCCGCCAGACCCTTGCTCCCGAACTCCCCATCTTCTCCAGCTGACCTGCGTCCCTTCCCGTCCCTCCCCCGCACCCGTCCCAGCTCCAGGAGCCACCGCCACCACCACCCACCATGGCTCTGAAGAGAATCCACAAGGAATTGAATGACCTTGCAAGGGACCCTCCAGCACAGTGTTCAGCAGGTCCTGTTGGATATGATATGTTCCACTGGCAAGCTACAATAATGGGGCCAAATGACAGTCCCTATCAGGGTGGAGTACTTTTCTTGAAAATTCATTTCCCAACACATCCCTTCCAACCACCTAAACTTGCATTTACAACAAGATAAGGTTGCATTAGCATCCAAACATTAACAGTAATGGCAGCATCTGTCTAGATAGTCTACAGTCCCAGTGGTCTCCAGCACTATTTCAAAAGTACTTTTGTCCATCTGTTCTCTGTTGTGAGATCCCAATCCAAATGATCCCTTAGTGTCTGAGATTGCCGGGATCTACAAAACAGATAGGGAAAAGTACAACAGAATAGTTGGAGAAGGGACTCAGAGTATGAGATGTAATTATAGAAATTATTGGATAATCTCTACAAATAAAGATAGGGGAACTCTGAAAGAGAAAGTCCTTTTGATTTCCATTTGATGGCTGTCTATGAGCCCACGCCTCATCTTCCCCTGTGCACACATCTACCTGATACAGCAGTGCTGCGTGTTGTACATACTTGGAACAACAAACTGGAAATACTGTACTTCTGTACCAACATTGCCTCCTAGCAGAGAAGCATGTGTGTGACAAGCCAGCCCTTCAGGTGTAACCTACTTGTGAGACTAAAAGCTTTCATTATTGACTTAAACTTGGATAACTGCGAGCTGTGAAGGGTGGTGGGAGAAAAGCCTCACTGACCTGTAAGAGATTGTTTTTAAGTGAAATCACTTAAACCCAAAATATTTATGAAAAGCAAGGTGAAGAACATGAAGCTGTTTCTGTATTCATTTTATTCAAAGGATCTGCAACTTAGATGAAATTTATGACCAGCCAGATCAAACTACCCACATTCTGTATTTCATGGTCCAAGTTTAACTGGTCAACATTTAAATGGGTTGGAGCTATTAGTACATAAAGTATAATGGACCTTGCCCCCAACTCTTTTTCATCTCCCAGTCCCTTCAACCTTCCTCCTTTCATCCCCTTTCTCTCCATATTCTTTGGTTTGTATGTGGTTTCTCAGTTCATATACAGCTAATAGCTCTTACTTTTTTTATGTTTTTAACTGCTGACATCTATTTGGATGTAAGGGTGAAAATTCATTTGATGGAAATACTTGGGTATACTTAAAGACCCAATTGCTCCTCTAGAGCTTGTATGTTCAATAATGGTTAATCTGTATAATAAACTAATTGCTATAGTTATTACATATATATATATGTTACATATATATATATATATATATATATATGTAATAAAAAAAAAAGAGTCTCCCAAGGAGTCCTGTTTAAGCTCAGTCAGGGGCAGGGCTTAGATTATTCTGCCTTGCTCAATACCATCACAGGGATGTCAGGTGCAGGTGCAGAGCACAGACCTCTGCAGCAAGGGGTTCAAAGACAGGAAGGAGAGATGGAAACAACTTCTTAAGAGTAGATTTTAATATTTTGCATGAAATTCAAAGAATAATTTCATATCATATCATATTATATGCATACACACACCTAGTTTTTCTGATTGCAATGAAAAACGCAAGTGTCTTCAGGCGTGAGGAGGACTGGAGGCACTGAGTAGTAGCAGGTGCAGAGACTCTGAAGGTTTCCCCAGACAGGGAGTCAGTCAGGGAGACAAACTCCCCAAAAGTTAATGAGGTCCCAAATCAGCTTAGTTGACATTTTGCTTTCCTAATATCCCAGTCGTGACAACAATCATGTAAAACTTATTTATTTGCAACTGCTTTTCATATACATACATATTTTCTAAATTCAAAATTTAGCTAGCTAGCTAGGGAATGCTGCAAAGACAAGTGGGTAGGGTTCTGTTATATCCCATACAATAAAAATGAAAATATGCACACAGATCAGTTAATGGGTAGAAGATGTTCCATGTTGAGGCTGGACTTTTGGCCTGAGTGTTTGTTGAGCATCATGCAGACCACTTGTTCTCAAAACATCTGTCATGGTAGTAGGGTAAGTACATTTTAAACACATGCCTCATGGGTAAATCTGGCATTTTCCCTATGTGCACCACATCCGCTCTACCCTGCTGTTTGTCATCCAAAGTAGAACCTTTAGGACCTATCCAATCTCAAATTAAGATGGAAGGAAAGGCCAGAGAGAGAGAGAACCAGGGAAAACAAGAACAGAAAGAGCAAGAGAGACAGGAGACAGAGAGAGACAGAGTAACCAGATGTACCATTTCCTAAATCAGCAAGGATCTTTCAAAATATTTTTGACATTTTTATTAAATATCAGTTACTCAAACTATTTTTTCTTTAAAAAAAACACAAATCACACAGAGAAATGAATTGTATTTAACCTACATACAGCTAAAATAAATTCTGCCCAGCAAGTTACTCTTACTAAATATGATGCATTCAGGTATTTTCTATTCTAATTCATTGCATTAAACAAAAAATGCTGGTGACAGGCTGTCAAACATTGCACAGCCTCTAATTTAGGGGTTCTTACAGCCTCGCCCAGTTTCTAGCCCAGCTCAGCTTTTGCAAGGAAAGGAAAGTAGCCTGAGGCTATTTTAAGTGCTCTCTCTCTCTCTCTCTCTCTCTCTCTCTCTCTCTCTCTCCCCTCCCCTCCCCTGCCTACCCTTTGGAATCTGCCCAAAGCAGTCACAACAGATAGATTCAGCAAGAGGTCAGGGTCAGGCTGTCCATCACCACACTCAAGTTCCACTTCTCTTGCCATACAAGGAAGTCCAGAGCTGACTAAGCTACTGACCTGAAGAGGACTCAGGAGGCAGGAGCTGACCTCTTGCCAACAACCATCATATCAAGATTGCTTTGATAGTGTCCTTTTGTTAAAAGCCACCTGTCTCCACTAATGAGCACTTAGTGTCTGTGCACCCAGAAAAGAGTGGAGTTAGCTTCAAGGCTGGAAGAGCAGAATTGGACACATATTAATAACAGTATCTAAACTCTCAGTCCTGCAAAGTGAGAATACAGGTCTGCTGCTGCTCTAGCCTACAAAGGGATGCCAGAAAGGCACAGAATGTGATCTGACCCTCCTAGTCATTCCTGCCTCAGTGGAGAGGCCTGCACCTCTCCACTCCTGCTGGTACCCAGCACCAGGACACTCTCTCCATCTCTGATTTCACCTTCTTTGGCTCCCACTTGTCCTAAGTCAAAATTCACAGGTCCTTCCTGATAGGGCACTTGTCCAACTGTCAACCTACTCTTTCTCCACTTGCTCCCTCTACCTTCTCTCTCTACTTACTCTCTCTCTCTCTCTCTCTCTCTCTCTCTCTCTCTCTCTGTTTGATCTCTGCCTTAGCCACCCCTTAATTCCCTTCCCAACACTTCCTGGCACTCACACATAACCTTGCAGTCTCCCTACAGACATCCGAATTCTTGAGTCTTCTTGTTCTAAGAGCAGGCCCCTGGTTTCCAACTCCTGCCTGTCCTTTAGGTCACCATTTCCAGGAAGCTAGTTTTAATCCCCTAGGGCTCACCTGGCCCCCTCAAACATGGTTTCATGTGACCTGGTCCCATCTGTTGGAGAGCTTTGTTCCAGTTGTCTATTTGTCATTGCTTCCTAATTCCAGAGACTTTTACACTGCAGGCACCTGGGAGGTGACTAGAGTGACCGCTGAACAGAGATGATGAATCAAAGATACAAGAGGTGAGTCTACGAGGTAGGACCAAGGCTTGGGAAACAAATTGAAGTCTAAGTAATGTTCCTGGACCTGGATAATAGGATTGGTAAATGACTGGGAGGCTGGAGTCACCAAAGGAGAGAATAAGCTGTCACCACTCATGACTATCTGCTGCATGTTCAGTTCTGAACAAGGAATACAAGTACAGTTGGCGTACACTCTTACGTGTGGGTGTGTGTGTGTACATTCATTCCATCCATCCATACACAACACCCAGCTACATATGTAAACATGTACACATGTAAATAAAGCTATAAAGCTATACGTTCCAGAAGAAGAAGACTCCAAGATGATACATATGAAAGGATGAATAAAAGCCAAGGGAAAGAGCCAGTTTTGGTGATTCGTGCCTGTAACACCAGAATTTGGGAGGCTGAAGCAGGAAGTAACCCTGGGCTACATAATGAGGCCCTGACTCAAAAGAAAAAAAAATGCCAGGGAAAAATAATTAATTTTGAATGAGAATCTCAGAAATCAATAAACACCATCTGAAATTAGCCATCTCCAGGGAAGAATTCCAGAGCATGTTTCACAGAAGGAAATTTGAGGGCCTGTTGCTAAGAAAATTGAAGTCATTCCTGGAATGTCATCAGGATGTAGCTAAGAAGATATGAAAACAAGCTCTAATCTAAGTCCTATTTTTAAAAGCAGAGTGAAGAATAGCATAGCCAGGAGATGACGGTCATACTCTAGAAAAAGAGTTGCAGTGCCAAGTCTACCACGATGACCCTCCAGAGAGCATCTAGAGAAGCATTCTGACTCCAGTCAATAGGCCCCAGTTCTTTGGACAAGAGACAAATTGCTTCTCCCTTTTCTTTCTTCTTTTCCCTGTCCCTTCCCTCTCCCTCGTCCCCTGTCCCCATGCACTGGTAGAAAAGACCCTTAAGATTATCCAACATCATGTGTACTCCTTGCACATAACCCACCTGCCCCCTGATCTTTATATTGGATTCTGATTTTCCTGACCACCTGGAAAGCCCACACCCCTGGTAAGAGATGCTGTTGCATCATTCCTATAACTTTAAATTCCTAGAAATTAAGAAAAAAATCTGCAAAATCCATTAACCAAAAAGTGAGACCTTATAGAGTATATTATTTCCTTTTGTTGTCTCTACTTTTTTTTCTTTTTCTTTCTTTTTTGGCCTGAGTTCCAGGAAGCTCAAAAGATGGTCATGATCCCCGCATACAGACACCATTCTGACCATGAGTCTATGTGTACATTCCATTTCACCCTCTAACCTTTCCATTTGCACCTTACTCATCTTATTGTATATTCTCCTTTATTATCTGAGGGGAGCAGCTTTTTTAAAATATCTGAGAATAAAGATTAAAAAGAAAGTTTCAGAATCCTCAGTTGGGGCCAAAAGTTTGGAGCCAAAGCAGACGTAGCTGTGGTCAAGAAGCCCAGACCACACCATCCCTGAGCCCATAATCAACCGGCAAGGGCTTCTTAGTGCTGCTTACCAACAAGAATACTTGGAAAGTAAATGTGTTTGGGCCAGAGAAAGAGGTGAGACTAGGAAAGGCCATGAAACTGGGATGAGTCCTCGTCCAGCCTCTGGGATTTGGCTTTGGGCATGGAAAAGGAGTGAGGGCCAGAGCCTCAGAACCCTCAGTGCAAGAGAATGTGATAGCCAGGACCCAGCAGAGTTGGAGTCCATGTTTCTCCCCATCTTTTCA